TGAAACCTTAAATTTGTCTTTCGAGAGACAAATTTAAGGTTTCAAGAAGGCAAAGACCTAAAAGAACGTTGATTTTTACCAATCATGAGTTTGTGTAAATTCTAAATCTGATGATGGCGGTGAAAAAAAGGAATTATTTTTACTTCACACCTTGAATGTCTGTCGAATTACAAATTTATGGTTTCAAGAAGGCAAAGACCTAAAAGAACGTTGATTTTTACCAATCATGAGTTTGTGTAAATTTTAAATCTGATGATAGCGGTGAAAAAAAGAATTATTTTCACTTCACAATTTGAATGTCTGTCGAAAGACAAATTTATGGTTTCAAGAAGGCCCAGACCTAAAAGAACGTTGACTTTTCCCAATCATGAGTTTGTGTAAATTTTAAATCTGATGATGGCGGTGAAAAAAAGCATTATTTTTACTTCACACTGACTGAGACCCAGGAACGATAAGAAAATCATAACAAATACACGCAGTCAGGAAAATAGATCAGAATTATCGGCGAGTGCCGATACGAATTTTCGAAAAAAAAAAAACCGGCAAGGACCAGGCGGAAATGTTGTTGAAGCTCCAACCTTAAGAAAAAATGGGTTTAAGCACGAAACCACTGGAAGCGGGGAAATGGGGATGCTGGGGAGGTTGAAAAGGGCTTTTGCGATTTGCAGCAAAACGACCTTCTAGTGGAAAGAACGTTAAACATTCAACCACTTTATTTGCTAAAATGTGAACAGAGGATCAAGAAACTGTGATTCCGCAGCGGTCGTTTCCTGCTAATGCTATGGCGTATGAAGTGTAAAAGGATCCACACCCATAGAGTGCTCAGTTTAGTTTCTTGATCAATAATATGGCACTGGCTTAATCGTTATCACTAGAGCGCGGACTATTCAGCTCCTTCTTGACCAAAATGAACTCATTATCCTGAACTTTCCGTCCAATGTCTCTGCACAAGCTGGCCAGCGTTTTGCGCCTATCAGCCAGCATATCATATTCCGCTCCCAGGGAAATCAAACAATCGGCCAAAACTTTCGTCCTCTCGGCAATGGCAAATGGCAGCTCATGGTCGAGAATGCAGCGGCAGTGTTGATAATCCATTAAAACTTCGTCAAATTGCTGCTTGAGTTTCTTCAGCGAGTCGTCGTTTACATTCAAAATTTCCAGGATGATTTTGAAATTCTTCAGTGCCAACTTATAATTGCTCTGCCTCTCTTGGAATTCGCCGTAGAGTTTTTTCACGTTGCAATTGTTATCGTTCAGGATCATTAAAAGTTGCCGTTTAAATCGCTCCAGTGTGGACAGCTCGTAGCTGCTGTGCAACTGTTTTAGATTGCTGGAAATCTGCTCGTCCATGCACTGTTCACGCACCGCGAAAGAATTCAGAGTCAACGACAGTCGGCTGGAGGATTTCACCTCCAAACTCACACAGTCGATGTGATTCAACAGGTCGTCACCCAATGCTTCCAACATGTTATAAGACTCGATCAGCTGGAAAATTTCCCCCCAAAAAAACCTCTTTAACACTAATGCCCGCATTTTCAACTCACCATCCGGTGCTGCTCCAGTGCCGAAGATTCCTCCAGCTGGACAGTGGCCAGCTCGATCTTCAACCCTTCGCATTGCTCCTCGAACAGCAAATCGTGGAAAGCGGCTTTTCTCGGCAACACAAAACTGCTGGAATATTCCTCTTGGTAGAACGTTTCTTGCGGCACGTTCCTTGAGTAATTTAGGGGCAAATCGTCCGAGCCCTTAATAATCTGGTGCCTCAGTAGCAGGTTTAGTTCATTCATAGAGCTGCTCTGAGGTTGGCTCGCTTTTAGTTCGGGGATTTGATGGGTTTTTGGCTGCTTTGACACCGGCAGGTTGCATGTCAAGTTTGTGCTGGTTTTAACCACTAAACGCAAGGTGGAAGCCGGTTTGTTTTGTTCAACTGTTTTTCTAGATTTTAAATCAAAATTAATTCCTGGGTTTCAGTCATTTATTGTCTATTTATCAATTAAAATACGTTTCGGTGTATTTTTCCACCATCATCGGCTTTTCTAATAAGAATAAGAAGAAAATAAACTAGACAAGCTTTTAGCAAAGAAACATGGCAGAACAAACAAATGTAACATTAATGAAAATTGGATAAACATTTGTCTTCACTAAACATACCGAACAACGTAAAATACATCTTATCACTTGGACCAAGGTTCTACATAAATAAGTCTCACTATG